AATGGAAATGCTTTCATTGTAACTCACATGTCACCCTGAGTCACAAGGAAAGGTGGGTTATAAATATTTTAATACATGCATTCGTAACTATTGACATGGAACACAGCTCTCTCACACTGGTGCCAAGAGGTGGAACAGGAGCTTGACAGACAGAGTTTTCCTTCCACCAGTGCCCCTTTCCATCATGAAGTGGCAAAGTGGCCCTGAAACTATGGCAGTGTCATGGCAGCTTCTGGGTAACCCACAACTCCAGAAAGTAGAGATGCTGGGGACTGTGCCTGGACCTTCTGCATGCAAGGGAAGTTTTCTGCATTGGTCCCTCTAACTAGGAAGTTGCCTTGCCACATCCCTGGTCCATTTAACCTCATACCAGTGGTTCATCTAACCTCATTCCACTGGTCCATTTAATCTCAGACCACTGGTTTATCACCTAACCTCATTCCACTAGTCCTCATTCTACTAGTCCATCCTCATTCTACTAGTCCATGATCTAACCTCATACCACTGGTCCATCATCAAAGCCCTGGAAAAAAAAAAAGCCCTGGTCTCGAAGCAGGGAGGAGGGAGGAGGGGGGTGGCGCCAGTGACTGAACTTCCTTTGTCTACCTCTAGAGCACACTGGCCAGTCACAGGTGACATCAGAATGTTATGTTTTTAGTGGGCCTTGCAAGCTCAAGCATCACGTAGCCTCTTGGCAATGCATTTATTCCGCAGCTTTAGAGGCTCCTTTCTCCGGATACTTGCTCGAGGCACTTTACCAAATCAAAAAAAAAAAAAACCAAGATACAATAAAACCATTAAAACTGCAAGGAAGGAAAGATCAAGATTAACACTTCTTACAAAGCCAAACAACAACAACCACCACCCAAAGGTAGGAGCATAAATACAGCACAAAACAACAACACCCTAAGAACTTCAGAAGAGCTCTGCTGGATCATGGTAGTGGTCCATCTAACCCAACATCCTGTTTCTCCCAGTGGTCAACCAGTTCTTCTAAAACAACATCCCTAAAACAGTCCTCAGACTAGAAGCAGAGTATAAAAATAGGTTTTAAAATATTATGCAACCACCTCAGTTTAAAAGACGGGGTAAAAATAAATGTTTTGGCTTGGCACTTAAAGGAAGTAAAGCAGCTGCCAGGTGAGGCACAAGGGGGCAGGCGTTCCAAAGGTGAGGGGCTACCACTGAAAAAGTCCTACACACCTCCCCGATGAAGGCAGAGGTACAGAGAGTGGGGCATTTCTTCAAGTGCCCTGGGCCCCAGCCACTTGTCCCTTCAAGGTAAGAACGAGCGGTCTGAATTGTGCCTGGAAGCAGACTGGCAGCCACTACAGGTCTTTGGCACGAGGGTGATACAATCCTGATATCCAGTCCCTGGCAGCCGCCTGTCCACCACAGTTTGGACCAAATGCACTTTCTGGACACTTTTACAAGGTAGACCTACATAAAAGCACATTACTGTCATCTAACTGGATGAGAAGAAGCTAAGAAGAAGAGAAGAGAAGAGAAGAGATTGGATTTATAGCCCGCCCTTCACTCGAAGTCCCAGAGTGGCTTACAAACTCCTTTCCCTCCCCCTCCCCACACCCTGTGAGGTAGGTGGGGCTGAGAGAGCTCTGAGAGAGAGCTGCTCTTTCAAGAACAACTCTGACAGAACCATGGCTTTCAAGCGGTCATCCAGCAGGTGCAAGTGGAGGAGTGGGGAATCAAACTCGGTTCTCCCAGATCAGAGTCCGCGCATCTAACCACTACACCAAACTGGCTCTCCTACACCAAACTCACAGCGACCAGATCAGGGCTTTTGAGGAAAGGCCATTGCCAATGACGTTATCAGGTGAAGCTAAGAGAAGTTGTTACAAGCCACAGAAGAGACTTGAGATGCCACGCTTAGGCCACATCCCCAGGCTACAAACCTGCTCCTTGAGGGGGGAGTGCAAATCACTCTACGAATGGCTGGCTCCTCAGTCCTTGAGCGGCTTTGGGTCAAACTGGACATGACAGTGTCCCCGTGGCCACCACAGGGATGTTGTTGCCGTTTTAAAATGATTTTAAAAATGCTGTGAGGGGAAGCATACTGGATGAAGGCACTCTTATCCCCCCCCCCCCGTGTCTTTCCATTTTGAAAATAAGAGCCCCTCAGCCCACCACGGTGCTTCACTTTAAAATGGTGGCGGTGTTCATTTTATCTATATCATTCATTTCCACCCTGCCTTCCTCCCCAATGGGGACCCTGAGCAATTTACATTGCTCTCTTCTCCTCCATTTTATTCTCACAGCAATCCTGTGAGGTAGGTTAGGCCAAGAGTGTGACTGGCTCAAGGTCACCTGGTGAGCTTCCACGGCATGAGTGGAGATTCAAACCTGGATCTCCCGCATCTAGTTTGGCCCTCTGTCACTGACCAACACTTGCTGTTCACTTAACAGTATCATTTCATACAAAGGGAAACAGCCTGTGCCTGAACAAATCCTTCCCAGTGAGTCCCTGTTGTGGAACTGTGTTATATTTTGGTTAATGCAGAGATTCGGTTCATTTGCTACAGGGGGAATGAATAAAAGGGAAGCCTTTTGGTGGAGTCTTCTCACTTGTTTGTTTGCGGCCAAAAGACTTTTTGGGCTGACACTGAAGCAGGTGCGGAGAAGGCAGACTCGTAACCAAAGCCACCTAGAAGCTCAGCCTGTTCCCGTCTCCTTAATGTGAACCTTCTGCTTGGGACAGCTGACAGGCTCCGAGTCCTCTCGCAAGCAGCTGTTCACAGCATCCTGCGACTTCCCCCCCCCCCCCCCAACAGGTGGAGGCCTTTGGCAATATATTTATTGTGCAGACGCAACAGCCTCCCCTCTTGTCACAGAGTTTTACAACGGGGAATGTTTACTGCAGGTCGGTGGATCCTCTGATAAACATTTCAAAGGATGGGGAATAAAGGACCCCCTGG